GATGTATCGCATCTCGTCTAGACACGATACATCGATCCCCGAATGCGCTTCCCGTCGACTCCGGAACTCCACCAGGGCGAGAGGCGGAAGCGGAGTCGACGGGGGAGTGGTGGCCATCGATCCCGCGCCGCAAGGACGTGAAGTAAGTGATTCTAAGTCGATCTAAGATACATTGACTTCAGCTACGCTATTCTCATAGCTGAAGTTGCGTATCTTAGATCGATTCCCCCCCCCCCAGTGTAGACCAGCCCTAAATGACTTGCCCTAGTCTTGTAGGAAGTCTATGGCAGAGCAGGGAATGGAACCCAAGTCTGCCCAAAGCCTGGGCTAGCACCTCACCGCTGTACGCTCCCTCCTCTCAAGCATTCCCAATGGATTTGCTCTGATTTCAGCCATTACTAGAGTAGACAGGCTACACCACAATAAGCCAGGATTTGCGCCCCTGAGCTCACCTGGTTTCAATGGGGGTTAGCCCCATCGCCGCAAACAGGCCAGGTCTGTCACTAGAATGGGGCCTCCCATTCACGGGCTGAGCTTCAGAAGAGCTTCTGTTTTTGGCCCTCCAGACTTCGGCATCAGAGCGGCACCTCTGCAAACATGGGCCTTCTTCAGATGCCTCCACGGGAGGTGGGACCTTTGAAAATCCAGCCCCGGCAGCGGGTGCCGAACATGGGAAGATCGGGCAATTGCAGTGTGGTCCGTCTACGCGCGTGGCTGCAATCGGGGCAAATCCCCAGTGCAGTCAAGGCCTAAAAGGAGATTCAAGCCCCCCTGAATTCCCAGCTCTAGTCACTAAACAGCGCTTGCCCCCAGCTGATTCAAAGCACAACTCTCCTGGTGGCTATCCCGCACTCCAGTCTCATCCGCCAGCCTGCTCCTAAGCAATTCAGCAGAGATGTACATTCTTGGGGGAGATGAGCCCTCTCACTCCCTGACCTGGGCAGCTCCCAGGCCGCACCGAGGCTGTGTTACTCATAATGGGCTGCTTTGCCTTCCCGGCTCCTCGCTAAGGCAGGGTTGCGGTTGGGTGACCTTGGCGGGGGCTGGTGAGGCTTTTTTGCAATCCAAACACACGCTGGCGGGCCAAGCCAAGGCGCCGGAGCGCTGAGTGATTTGTATGCTCCGAGCACGTCACCTCTTTTCAGAGGGGAGAGCGGCGGCTGGAAAAGTCATTTTTCACCGTTTGACACACAGTCTCTTTCGCTCTCTCGCAAAGCCAGATAACGATCAGCAGCCGGAGCGATTAGGAAAATATATACGGGGCGCAGGGAAGGAGAGGAGGAGAAAGGCGCCATGACAGCGACCTGGCAGCATGCGCACGCAGACCTTTCGCTGACTTTTCCCTCCACTCCGTTTGCTGCACAGCGGTTGAAGGACAACGCTCAGCGTGGTCTTTAGGGCCTGATGCTGACGGGGCCGGGTGCTGGTTCAGGCCCTGCTGGAAGACATCGGAGCTGCCGGAAATCACTGCACGGCATCTTGGTCTTCCCCAGGATTCTCCTGTTTGCAGCCTACAGCGGGAGAGCCTGGGCCCCTGCGGGTAGGGAGGCGGCTGAAACCACTCGCTCCAGAGCTCAGCACGGTATTGAGCTCTCTGGCCATGGCCGCAACAGACATCATGCAAGCCTAGACTCCTTCCTGGATAGATCTCTTTGTCCTACAGTTTACTCCAGAAACCTACATCTGACCCCTTTAATTCTAGATCTTAATCTAGACTGAAATTCTGGTTCCTTTATTCTGGATTTTATTCTAGAGCCCACCCCCCTAAATCTGAACACCCTTATTTTAGATTTTATTCTAGACTCTTACACCTGGATTCCTTTATTCTAGACATTTCTGGTCTAGGTACCTTTATTCTAGATTTTGGTGCTAGAGTCTGAAGTCTAGGCTCTTTTACTAGACTCCTTGGACAAGTCCACAACAGACATCATGCAAAATTTTAAACGGCACTGCCTCACGCTGGAAGCTGTAACGTACTAGTGGTCACTGTGCCCCCTAGTGGATGGATCGGCAAGGTTGCTCAAGTGAGTCTTTTCAGCCCTGATACCGCTACTGCTCAAAGAGATTCTCCTTTAGCAGTCGAAGGTCCTAAGCTATATCTGTGCTTGTAACTCTAAAGTCCTCGGTGGCCTCAGCAGGTAGTACAGTGCCATGCACGAAGCCCTGCGTGGCTGTGGTATCCATCTCACAGTACCAGGTACTTAACCCGGGGGGTAGAGGCACAGCACAGTGCCAAGGGGAGATGCAGATCTCGTAAGTGACAAAGACACTTTGTCCAGATACTTGCTGCTCTCCAACATGGATGCATGCAAGAATATCAGGAACTTGCTTCAAAGCACATGCCCCACATTAAAGCCACTAGATCCGCCCCTCCCTTCTCTGACCCTTACCACCAACAGATCAATCCACAGGTCGCAGAAACACGAATAAGTCTTATGAAAGACCTTAGTCCTTTAGAGTCAGGGCCAGATTAGCCTTCTGTGGGCCCCGACGCCCGGACCGCGGCCCCACTCCGCTCTACCCTGAGGCCTCTTTCGCCCCCAAAGCCCCGCCCATTGTTCACACGGGGGAGGGGGCGGAGAGGAGCGAGTGGTGGGCGGAGCCTTGGGAGGAAGAGGCTGAGTGGGGGTGGGACTTCGGGGTGGAATGAAGGTGGGGCCATGGTCCAGGTGCCGGGGCCCCTTCTGAGCATGGGCCTGGTGCCACAGCACCGTTGCAAACCTGGTACTGATTAGAGTTCAGCAAGGCAGGTATCCATCCCCAACAAGCCCGGCTGGATTAAAGAGCCTGCAAGGATTTAAGGGGGATGAATTTAGCTGGAAAGCCACACGTGCACAGGAAGAGGAGGAAGAAATAAAGCATGCTAAGTGCACTGCTGTCAGCACAGCACATGGGGGGCCTCTACAGCACCATGGTGGGGACCATCTGCAGAAGTGACTGCCGCCACCTTTATACAGCAACCAAGAGGTGACCCGACGCGCAACCTTAAACCTGGACAGCTCACCCAGGGAACGCGAGCAAAATGCAGCGACGAACACGAGGCGAGGTGCCCGCATCCAGCGGGAACAAGGCAAACAGATGGCCAGTTCAAAAAGAAACCAGAGCAAAAGGAAGAGTAAAAACGAGTGAGCGAGCGAGACAGGAGAGAGAAACAGATGGAAGGTTCACAAAGGAGCTGGCCCAGAAATGCTAAGTGGGGGGGGAGGGGAGGGGAAGGCCAGACAAATAAAAACACAAATCCCGATGGACCCTTCCAAAAACTGCGCAGTGTTTTGATGTGGTTGACACGGATTCCCCATAGTAAGTGCTAAGCAGGATGCCCTCACCCCTTCTCAGACAGACAATTACCTCCTATTGTCACCTACTTACCGTCCTCTCTAAGCTTTGACTTCAGTTCACACAGGTCCCACTCCCCTCCTGCTTTCTTCTTAGGGAAACAACACACCAGGATGCACAAGCATACCTGTGGCCTGCAGAAGCCACATAGCCTGAGATGCCCTAAGAAGTGGGCTGTAGTCCACGAACGCTTATGCTCTAATAAATTTGTTAGTCTCTAAGGTGCCACAAGTACTCCTGTTCTTCTTAAAACCTTGCAGGCTTTCGCTAATTAAGCTCTTTAACGGCGCATTTGTCATCTGCGCTGATGCCGGCAAGAGCCAGTGGGTCTAAAAGCACTCCCTCCAACCTCCTGTCTGGCCTCCTAAGACCAAGTATGCCACCTGGCCACTGAGTTTAACAGACACCAGTGCAGCACATAGACTAAAACTGGAACGATATTGAGAAGATTAGCATGGCCCCTGCACAAGGATGAGACACAAATTCGTGAAGCTTAATGCAGCATGCAAGGGGCTCTTTCAGGGCAGTTTGGCGCAGAGGGTACCCGGGGAAACCTAGCTGCAAAGCGGAGAGCGAGTTGCAAACGTTTTCTGGGAAGATCCAGAGGTAACAGAGGTTGAGTTTGAAATACACTAAGAAGCTTTACGATGCCCTGTGACTGGCAGTGTTACCGGCTTTACATATTCAACAAATCATAAGTCAGCCCCCCCAAAACCATGAGCTTTTTAAAAATATAATGAATTTGGTTTTGGTTTTTTTAAGATGCCTTCTGGATTCTGAGCATTTAGGTGCCCACAACCACAATGGGTACAAACTTAGGCCCAGCTCAAAGCTCCAATTGAAATCAATGGGAGTTGGGTGCCTAAACACCTTTGAGGATCTGGGCTTTTCACTTTTTTTTTTTTTAAATGAAAGCTGAGATTCTCAGGCAATCACATGACTCCAAGAGCTGGAGCTTTAAGAACACTAAATATCTGCCAACCCATGCAATTTTGGGAGTCTCAACACCTGGATTGGTACCGTTAGGAGAGAGACAGAGAAAGTTTTAAGTTGCCCCTGGGATGATACTACAGATAATCTCTTGCTGGACCCAGTTTCTTTTTCAGTTTTCCAGTTTCTCCCAGTCATTCTCCACCCAGCCCCTCATTACAAGAAATGGAGTTGGCCTACGAAGCTATCTTGCCCTTGTTATTTTAAATAACTCTCTCTTACATCACTGCACCTAACAAAGAGAACTAAATGTTCATCTTGGGCCCCCTCGGTGCAGGCTGGCACATGCATTCTTTGATGGTATCACATCCCCCAACCGCATCAGCATGGGATTCATTCAGGCAATGGACTCAGAACTTCAGAGCACCCCTCAGGCTTTGGGTCAAATCCTGGACCCCGTTCTGGCTATTTTGTGCCACTCAGATGGTGCAAAACAGCTGGAAACTCAAAGCATCTGGCCCCATGGAGATTTTTCTGGTAGAGCCAGTACACAGCCCCAGGGACAGAGGGCGTGACTGGGGAAAAGGGCTACGGCTGGGCTTCCACTGTGAATGGATGACCCCCAGCTGCCAGAATGACCCGCCAGGAGACCACATTGGGTTTTTTCTTCTTTAGCTGTGGTTTCCCTAAGCCAGGACTAAAAGCCACCCAGGCTGAAAGGGTTTGCATTGCAATGTGTGAGTGAACAAATATAGCACTGCCCAAAAGTGACTTCATTTGGAGCCAGCTGTGTTCCTTTCACAGCGGACACAATTCACCTTTGGAACTCACTGCCACAAGTTATCACTTAGTAAGTTTCAAGGGCATGTATATGGACAATGAGCACAATCAGAGCACACTCAAAAGCAAGGATTAAAAACAAACCAAGGCTATGTCTACACTATAAAAATAATAATAATAATAATAAAAAGGTGCGTTCTTAACTCATGTTAGCTAACTTGAGTTAAAATAGCAGTGAAGACCTGGCAGCTTAACTCAAGTTAGGAGCTTCAGTTCAACCCCAGGCTGCCGTGTAGGCTTGAACTTGAGCTGCTAACCTAAGTTAAAAGCTGAGGGGTCGTGTCTTTTCTGCTATTTTTTTTTTCCTGGTAAAGGGACCGCTCAGTGCAACTCACCCGTCTGCAGGCAGGGAACTTTCTGCTTTATTTAACTGCCTCACAACAGAGTTTGGGGGCAGGGGAAACTCCCTTAGGCTAAATCAGGAAGTAAGGGGGGGTGGAATATGTCTCCATCTATATTATTCTGGCTAACCCAGTTAGTTGCTTTACTACAGTATGAACCTGAGATAGCTAATCCCAGTTAAGAACATACTTTTTCATGTGTGCAAAGGGAACATCTACACTGGAGCTGGAGGGGTAATTTCCAGCTCGGGGTGACATACCTGTGCTAGCTCTGAGCAAGCTAGCACACTAAAAATAGAAGTGTAGCTGCAGCGGTATAGTGGTGAAAAGGGCTAGCCGCTCGAGCATGTGGCTAGGGTTTCAAACAGGATGTGCGCAGGGCGGTTAACCTCTCCCACTGCCATGGCTACGCTTCATTGTTAGCACATTAGTTCAGCCAGAGCTAGCCCAGGTATGTCTATCCGAGTTGGCAATGACCCCTCCAGCTCTATTGTACAATACCCAAAGAGTTATAGACGGGACACAACACCCCTGGCATCA